CAGGAAATGATTCATAGTGGATAAATACTCCTTTTCACTTATTTCAGGTAGGGAAACCCTGAGCCATGTGCTGCCCAGCAGGATCAGACTCTGGCTGCCCACATCTTTAACCTGTTTGATAATGATGTTCTATCAGCTTCTTTTCTACCCTTACTTCCCCACTCCCTTACTCAGGTTTTCTAAGATCATCCTCAAAACTCACCATCTACACCTGACTGAGTCTCAGGGTCTGAGGGCAGGCCAAACGAAGACATTATCAGGAAAGTATTATTAATGGCAAACTAAGTCATTATCAGGAAAATAAAGCTAATGGCCAGCTTTGATGCTCAGGACAATGCTATAAAGAGGAAACATGGATAATAGCAAATAGGAAATTGAGAGAAGGTGCAAGATGCGGGCTAGGAAGGCAGTAGGTAGGGGCACAGCAGGGCAAGACGTTTGGAACTAAGGCTATGGAAATGAGTTTGGTGTGGCAATTACCTGATTCAAGGACAAGCCTAATGGATTAATGGGCACTAATCATTTTGATTTTTGGCCCTCTTTGAGAAATTGATGAAAGCTTTGGACTTTCTATTCAGGAAAAAAAAAAGTGTATACAAACAATTCTGCTTGAAACTTCAAGGGATTCCCAACCCCAGATTAAGAACCCTGATTAAAGGCTGTATGTGAGCTGGACTGTGAGGGTCTTGATTGCCTGCAGAGAGCTTTAGCATTTCCTCCATGGGCAATGGGAAGCCAGCAGAGGTTTTTACTATAGGAGTTCCCAAGTGATTACCATTTTCCATCCTAAATGGAACCCACGAAATCTGGATGTTTTTAACAGATTGAAAGGGAGATTGGAGGACAGAGTGCATAGATAATTGAGCTCCTTGTTGGCCAAAAACATTTTCTACCAGATGCACTGTAGGGCTTTAAAGGCTACAGGAGCCAGATGCACCTCCGTGGATGTCATGGGGAATCGCTTCCAGTGTTTCAGCCACAACAACTCCAGGAACAGGATACATACTGACGGGAGCTGGAGGCAAACTCAGGGCAGACACAACTGTCTGTATGAAAACCTATAAGGAGCCTGAGGTGAAAAAGTCCCTGTTGCAGAATGGACAGAGGGCGTAGGAAAGGGAGAGGCTGGAGAGAGAAGCTGAGAATAATAGAATCCATTTGTAAGGATAAACTGAGCTGGGAGGGCAAAGCATAGAAAAGATGAAAAAGAACCTGAAGGGAATATAGTTGTAGGAAATAAAGGCTAATTTGAGCACAAATGAGAAAGGTATAGAGATATAAAAAAAGATAGTAGCTGGACTTGTAGGATCTAGAGTACTAATGGGGAAAAGGAAAAGTTAAATTATTTGCTTCTCTTTTCTATAAATGAATTTAAGGAATGGCTATCTTTTTTTAGTATTTACTATATAGGAAACTACAGTCAACATCATTATATATAATAATCCTGAGTCAGGTGTTGTCCCCATGTCACAGGTGGGTAAACTGAGACAGGGAAGAAACTTGCACAAGGCCACAAAATGAGTGCCAGTAAAGCCTGCGTTTAAACCCAGGCCTGTCTGACTTGAAGTCACAGACTCTATTTCCTGTTGCCTTCATCCCAGAGCTCATATTTGGAGACCAAACACAACTAACAAAAGCAAATTACATGACTTAGGCACCAAATCAAACCTGAAGAATTGACCATATCAGGATTTTTGTGGACTAAGCTGATAGAGTGGGAGGAGGTGGCTATGGCTGGTCACCAGGATCATTGGCATGATGACTTCTGAACCTTCTTCCACTGTCCACCCCACCTTAACCGGTACAGTCCCACTGCTTAGCCAGGTCAGAACCTGAGGGAAAAGGCAAGCCTTGGTTTGGTAGAGGCAGGATCTCAGACTGGGTCATTCAGACTGACACCTTCAAGTTTCTGGAGGGGCTCATGGCCTGGTATGGCAGAAAGAGCATGGTGCTGAGCCAGTAATGAAGGTACGAATCCTGCTCAGACACCCATTACCTCAATAATACACTGAGTCTTTCACAGCTTCAGTTTCTTCACTGGTAATAACCAAACCGCCTGTTTTTTCAGGGTCAATGTGACGATGACACAAAATAATAGATGCACTATGACTAGCACAGTGTCTGTCAAACAGTGTCCCAAACACCAGCAATTTTGCATTCTAACATCCTTTCTTTCCTCTTTTTCTACTTGAATCCCTTAACCCACTACCAAGGCCTGTTCGCACCCTGGGTATAGCGCTTTTCACCTCAATATACATATATTTGGTGTCTAGTATAATTACAAAATATTTTTTGGTTGGAATTGTGCAATTTAAAAAGCTCTTCCACTCCTGTCATAGCATCTATTTTTATCATGGGCCTAGAAAGTGAGCTAATAGGAATCACTACCCCTTTGTTACTATGTTAGAAAGAGGCTCAGAGAGAAGGTGTGATGTACCCTAGTCACACAGACAGTAGCAGAGCAAGTACAGACAGGCCGGCTTAAAGCAACAGAGCCAACCAATATATAGATGCTGACGTAGTCTGCTCTAGCTGCTATAACAAAATATCACAGAGTGGGTGGCTTCAACAATAGGAATTTACTTTGCACAGTTCTGGAGGGTGAGAAGTTCAAGATCATGGTGCTGACCAATTTGGCTTCTAGTGAGGGCTCTCTTCCTGGCTTGTAGACAGCCACCTTCTCACTGGGTCCTCACATGACAGAGAGGAGGGGGGGCTATCTGATGTCTCTTCTTATAAAGACACTAGAGGCCTGGCACACGAAATTTGTGCATGGGTATTGTCAGCAGGCCTGGCCTGCAATCAGGGCCATTTTCCCCAGCTGCCTGCAGCCGGCCCCACCCCCCACTGCCACCCACCCCCGGTTCCCTGTCCATCATTGGGCAATTAGAGGCTGCCAGCCAGGGGGAAGGACCGAGAGGTGGCCATTCCCACCCACTCGCCAGTCCTGCCCCCACTGCAGATCGCCTTTTGTGTGGGGGGCAACCAGTGGGGCGAGGGCCTTGGCCTGGCACCCACATCCCCACCACCCACCCCCAGTACCCCATTTGCCATCAGGTGATGGGAGCCTGATGGCTGGGGAAAGACACTGAGAGGTGGTCAGTGTGCCTCATAGTGACTGGTCAAGCGGTCATTCTGGTCATTCCACTGTTAGGGTCAATTTGCATATTACCCTTTTATTATATAGGATTAATCCTATTGGATCAGGACCCACCCTCATGACCTTATTTATCCTTACTCTATCTCCAAATACAGTCACATTGGGGAGTGGGGCTTCAATATACTAGTATGAATTGTGGTGGGACACAAACATATAGTCCATAGCAGGTGCCTTGGACAACTTACCTTCTTTGGGCTCTTTTCTTTATCTAAAAAAAAAAAAAGTAGTATGTTCTTGGACATGGCTGTGTCCAAGACCCCTTCTGGCTCAGATTTTCAAGAATTGTACTCTAGCTCTTTTCATATACACAACACAGCTGCCATGGTTCAAAGAACCCACAAGCAGAAAAATGTCATGTGGCAAGAAACGGGCATATCTTCTCAAATGTCTCTCTGTCAGTGAAGAACTTTTCCCCAAAAGCCCTCAGAAGACTTCTCCTCTCAGCCATTGGCCATTACTGTGTAATATGCCCTTCCTAAACCAACAACTGGAAGAACAGAGCTGCAATGAATGGGGGTGGGTGCTTCTGATTCACAGGGAAAAGGAGAAAGTGGCTGAACAAATCAGATTCTTGTAACAAAGTGGGGAGTGGCTCTTGGGCAGCGACCAACAGCACCTATAGCACACAGTGCACCACTTTATGCATATAAAAGCAAACGGATAAGACAGGCTCCTAAGGCAGCCTGTGTAACCATGTGCTGAAAATAGAAAGTCATAGTATTTAAAAGGCAGAGTTTCAGGTGGGGTTTGAGGCAGAAATGTGACTGCTTTGGGGTGAAGCAGTGATATTTACAGACTCTTGTGTGCCCCTGGCATCAGCTGACTCCAGCAGGATACTGCTAGGCCCTTGCAGCCATGTCCAAACCAGGGCTCAGGGCCTGGGAGACAAGCTACCCTCAGGGAACTTGGGACCCAAAAGGGACAAGCAAATGTCAACTTCTAAGGATGAGGCCAGAATAAGGATTTTCATGTGCTGTGATTCAAGGGGTGTCGGTTTCATATTCAGGTGGCCTTGAATTAAATCCAAGCTCTATTTTTTAGGGAATTTCTGTAAATTCTTCAGATCTTGGTTTCCTTAACTGTAGAATGGGGATACTGATTTGGCTGGTAAGGATTAGCAATAATTGTGTGTAAAGAATTAGCAGTGTCTGACAGATAGTGGCCACGCAGTAAATAGTATCACCATCACTAGAAGAAAATGAAAGTGGGAATGGATCAGGTGAGATGGATGAACAAATCCTGTGAATCAGAAATTCAAACAAAGCTCAAATTGTAAGTTAAATACGATTTTCAAAGTGCAATCAACAAAACCATTTTATCACCCATTGTCTAATTGGATCCTCACAATTAAGGTATTATCAGGGCTCGCCCACTTTACAGGTCAAAAAAACTGAGATTCAGAACGGCTTAGACATAGTTTGTTCATCTTCGATACTATGACAGATTAAAGTAGCTAGGAATTCATTTTCCCAGGGAATTCAGGCTTCAAGAGAGACTTGTCTGCAAGTCCAAAAGTCAGAAACAGTGGGCTCTAAGATAACCCATTACTGAGTCACTAGCTAGAAGTTTCCTTGAAGGTTTCCTGTGGAGAACGGTGTTTCTTAAACTTTATGAGGCATCAGACTCTCCTGGAGGGTTTGTTAGACCACAGATGGTTAGGCAGGACTCCCAGAGTATTCAATTCTGTATGTCTAGGGTGGTGCCTCATCATTTGAATTTTTAATGAGTTTCCCATGATGCTACTGCTGCTTTGGGACCACACCTGGGAAACCATTGGCTCAGAAACTGGGTCCCAGAATGCAGATCAGGGCTCTCAAATTTCCACATACAGAAGAATCACCTGGGCAGCCTGCTGGAAACACAGCCCCAACTGTCTTCCACGATGCAAGTTTGGATGCAAAGAGGTGACTCTGCTGTAGGACTCACCTGCCCTATTGGAGAAAAGTTGATTAGTCAATTCTCTCAAGCTCTTTTTGACACCCAACCCTAATTATGTGTATTTATTTACATATAAATTATTTACATATACTACTGTATATGTAGTAAATACATTATTTATCCTATTTTCTATTTAGAAATGTTTTAATTTTATAAGAATATACATAAATGTTAAATCTTTTTCACATACCCCAAAGGATTGCCTTACACCCACACTTGAGGGACCATCCAAGTCACCAAGTACTATTCAAAGATTATTCCACAAATTAGCAGCATCATGGGATCTTGTTAGAGGTATAAGTTCCCAGGCCCACCCCAGACCTACTGAATAATAATCTCTGGGACCGGGGCAATCAGTGTTTTAATAAGTTCCCCGTGTGACTGTTGACAAAGTTTGAGAACCACTGATGGCTAAATACATAGATGATGCAGAGTGGTCTTGGTGCTAAGATGAAGACCAATGGGACGGAGGCACAATTACCAGACACAGCTGGGGCAAGTTCTTGAACTCTGAATGGATTCCCCACTGGAGTTTATGTTTTTAGTAAACAACTTTGAGCCAACAATAATCACACTGTTATTCAGAAATCAAGTGTTTTTATGATGCTGTTTCCCAGTCATGACTTTGTCAAAAAAATTATTGATTTCTGTATAATTCAAGAAAATGTTCCCACTCAGAACTCAACCTTCTCAGATTGCCTAGGGCAGTGGTCGGCAAACTGCAGCTTGCGAGCCACATGTGGCTCGCGAGCCACAGTTTGCCAACCACTGGCCTAGGGCCATGGGTTTTCCCAGGATGCAGGACTTCCTGTACTTAAACCAGGAAAGTCCTGGGAAAATCAAGACAAGTCGGTCACCTCTCTTGGACTCTATTGTGACAGTGTTTGATATTTTTTAAAAATCAACTCATTTTCTCTACTCCTACCAATTACACAACCTCTACAAAAGAGCCCTAGACTTAAAGATCTGCTCTGTCTCTCATAGCAGTGTGATATGCAGCAAGTCAGTTAATCTGTGAACCTCCGTTCATCATCTGCAAAATGGGACCAAACACCCTTGCCTCCCACACCTCAGAGGACAATAGTCAAGGTCAAGAGAGTTGGTGTTACAAAGGCAACTTATGCATTACAAAGTAGTCTAGGAATAGAGGGGATGGCCATTTGACATCCTAGAAAGAGTGCAGGCTTTTGGAGAGGCAGACCCTCATGCACCCCTAGAACCACATCAGCACATTATTTTATCTCTCTAAGATGACTCTCAACTGTAAAATGGGGATTCAAATTACCTTCCTCATAGAATATTGAGAAGATTAAACGAGATGGTGGTCGCTAAGCGCCTGGCATATTTGGAACTCCAAAGTATTGGTTCCCTTCCCTGTGATTATACGACATTCAAAGACTTAATGATAGTTTTTTTGCAGCTAATGCAATGAATAGCATCATTATGCTTGCTTCCTGAAGTGAAAAGCCACATAACACTCCTCCCTGCTCCCAGGGCCCCTTTGATGTGGCAGGGGGTGGGAAAGGATGTTACTTCCACTTGGTATAACCAAGCCAGAAAGGTTGTCCAGTTCCTACCCACAGAGGAATGCAATGAGCGACTGCTTAGAGAGGCCTGGGGCTGAAATGCACAGTGACCTTTGCATCTGGGAAAGCCAAATTTGAAGCCTCTACACAAATTTAATTATCCCTTCAGTAAATCATACCTAATCTGAATAGATTTTTTTTTCAAATCATCTCAAAAATTGCAAAAATATATCTAAAAATTAAAAAGTATAAGTCCAGTCTGTCCTCACAGGGGGGAAATAAGTGCCTTGAGTTGAATGTCTCTTTCAGGCAGGGATATTGTAACATTTCATTTTTGGAGGATTTCATCCACTCACCAAGCATTTAACTGAGCCAGATAGCCCATGTTTTGAGCATCTACTTTGTGCCAGGCTTGGCACATAATAAAATGAATAGTTTCTGCTTGGCAAGAAGTTCACAGTTACAAATAAACATAGTTACAATCCATGGGTGAAAAAGAAATATTACTAGAGGTAGGTCTGAGGGATCGTGATGGTAAAAAGGAGGTTTAGAAATCCTACCTAGCAAAGTGCTAGAAATGGGCCGCACTCTGTAAATTAAGTGTGTACATGGGATTGATGGGAATTACCCACTACCGCTATCCATTGTCTTCACCTTGGCACATGGTCTCTCCTAGGGACAGTGAGAGTAAACTGTGGCCAGTGGGACCTGAGCATAATAGATGTGTGTAATGTCCAGGCTCTACCTTTAAAGAGAAAGGCATGTTTGCCTCTTCCTCTCTCCCTCTTCATTCTGGATGGAATCCCGGCATGGTAGTAAGCAATCTTGGACCATGTGGTTTAGAGCATCACCTAGGGATGTTAGGGCAACAAGAGAGAAGAAGTCTGGGTCCTTCCTTCATGACTTCATAAAGCAGAATCACACCAGGAACAGGGCATGTATAGGGTAGGGAATTGAAGGTTTATCTCACATATGCCTCTATTAAGTGAGGCCTCTATTACATGCAGCCTTTTACACCTGCCTATAGTACAAGTTTTTTGTTTGGATGAATTCTGTATATTTCAATTGACAAACACTAGCTGCTATAGAATGATGAATTATAATCAGAAGCCCAGTGAGCACTTCTTTCAGTCCTCCAGAATCTCATATGTCACTCAGAAATCTGCAAACTGTCTATCCAGGAAGGCCAGAGTTCAACTCTTCCTGGCTCCCAGATTCTACTGTTCTTTTCTCCCCCATCAAGAGCTGCTTGAGTCTCAAGTTCAAACCCCAGAGCCACCTGAGGTAGGATAGTTTGAGTGGCTCCAGAGCCACCTCCTATGTATTAACTTCAATTCTTTCTTGCCCATAGTTTGACTGGGATGTTTTCTTTTAGGTCTATTGCTTGTTTTCTGCCTCATATAGAGTTCCTGAATTCCTGTTCCAAGTCTAAAGTCTAGACCATGGACCCCAGGAGCAACAAGGACTCAATTAATTTATATTTTCATCTCTAGCAAGGACAGGACCTAGCATAGCACAAACACTTGTTGAATATTAAACAGAAAAAAAAAGTGAGTGATATGACATATTCCACCATTGCCTTTTTAGGAACATTTCCTATTTTTCCAAGCCTCCCCAAAGACTAGATGAATTTCAAGGAATTCTATTGACTGGCCTGCACCCTTCTGGGTGCCCTTCTGCAACTCCACTAGACTCCCAGGCTGGCACATCTAAGTTACACATGTTGGAATAGCCCACTTTCTTTTTCTGAGTTTCATCTGCAGTCTTTTTCACCTTTCCTTCCAGGCAAGAAGGTGCCTACTGGCTTGCCTGCACTAGTATTCAAAGCCCAAATCTGGGAATGAGGAAGTTGGCCAAGGCCATGGAGCAGAGAGGAAAGGAGAATCAGAATCTTTATCCTGAGTGAGGGTGGGCCTTGAATTAAGGTATGGCCAGAGATCAAATGTGAACTCTGAACTATCGAATTTACTCCAAGAGAATAGGCAAAACAGAGGTAGAGACCAGGAAGGTGAGGAGCAAGAGATATTTTGCTCATACTATGACTTGAAGTCATATTCTTTGATGATTCTAACTGTCTGTCATGAAGAACTTTCTCTCAGATTTCATTTCAGGTCCTCCAAAACACAGATTCCAAGATGGAATTAGAAGTGCAAGTGATTTATTGAGAACAATGCCTGTACAAGTTAAAGGGAGAAGCAGTAGGCAATGCTGCAATGCAGATTTGATACCTGTGAATGGAGAAGGGGAGTTAGAGCCTCAGACTATGGCTCAACTCTGAGAAAACCTCCACTAAGACAGTGGGAGCTTCATTGCAAAGACAGAGGATTCCTGGGTTGGGCATAAATGGCATCTGGCTTCATCCCTGACCTTTCTTTACAGTTCTCAAACTGACTTAGAGAAAATCCAGACTGGAAGTAGACTTAGAGATAATTTGGGCAACATTGTTCAAAAGAACTTCCTACAAAGATGAAAATCTTTCATATTTTCCTCCCTGTCCAGTATGGTAGCCACTAAACACATGTAGCTATGGACCACATGAAATGTGACTAGTGTGACTGAAGATCTGAATTTTTTACTTAAGTTTTTAAAATCATATGTGGCTACCATATTAGACAGCACGGATTTACAGTCCAAGTTTTTTAAGTGAAGAAACAGAGGCAAAATGAAATGCCCAAACATATATTAGAAGTTAAGGGTACACATAAGACTTGAACCAGTCATTTTTTAAGTACAGCCTTCTCTAAATCAACCACTTCTGCATCACGACGTAGAACATAGTACATCTGTTTACAAGTTGGGTTTTTGTTTACAAGTTGTTTCAAATATTTAAGGGGTCATAGACTCTGATCTTCCCTAAAGAACTTAAAAGCTAATGTCATACCCAAAGATGTCTCTTTCTTTGTGACCAATCTCTAGTCCTTCATCCTTGCTCTTGTCTTTGTGTTTAAGCATGGCTCCTCTAATCTTTGCTGCTTAAGAAGTTTTCTGCTCTCCTTCACTTCCAAACTCAGGTGCTCTGCTATTATTGCTTAGACTCACCATGTGCCCCCAATACTGTACCCAAGCATGCTGCCCTTGGGAGTTAAAAATTCCTCTTCCTTGCCATGATTGCTGCCTCCGTGTTAATCCAGCTAAAGCTCCCGCCAAGCCCAGGATCTTGGATTCCCTCTTGGGCCTTTTCCTCCTCCCTGATCTAATCCCACGCCATCACCTGCAGCCCAGATGGAAAGACCACAAATCCCCAGGAATGCATTCCAAGCAGAGGACATGTGATTGCTCTAAGGCTTCCCATTCATTCCAAGACCTGGAATCTGTCTGCCTCCAAAAGCACATATTTCCTTTGGGCCCACGATGGGAGAGCAGTATTCCTACATCATCTGAAATACAGAGGCCATCACTGTAGTTAGACATATCACAAAAAAATAAGACTTTTAGAGCTCCCCTCAATCTTTCCCATCCTTCTCAATCCAAACTCCCGTTCTTTCTGAATAAGTTATCATCACTTGTAAAGCCCAAACAAACATTCCTTTCATGGGCGCTTTCTCCTCCTTTACCTTGGATTGCTTCAGCTCCAAACACTTATTACAGACAGAACTCTCAGTTCTTTGTTTTCTGTAATAGTATCTTCTGACTTTTTAAATACTTACTACTCTTTATCTAAAAAATGAGTCACAGAACTGATAAGTAAGGCAATCAGGCAATAGCAAACAGAAAGGATGAGTTGGTCTGAGAAGTTTAGGGCTTCCTTTCAAAATGGAAAATATGTACTTTATTATGGGGTAAGCTCATTTATCATGGAGCTTAGCAGATGCTATGCTGGGCTAACTCACTATAAGTTTACTATCTACATTAACCCAGGTAATGTGACAAATGATAAGATTTAATAATCTTCCATATTTTTATGCCTGTGTTATACCAGCGACTGTGCTAGGAGAAGCTCTGTTTTAGAAAGCTCCATAATACATAAAAATCATCAGAGGCAGCAATTTATTTGGTTTGTAATTCTGTGCCTTTTGGACACTGGGTGTGATTCTATAGGACCATGTTCTTGGGACAGATAACATTGTGTATGGAGTGACACTATAAGTTAAATCATTCAAACCCGGACCATCTTGTAAGGGAAAGGAAACAAGATCAATAATTATGCTGGGATTAGGAAATAAATAAGGATCATTGCTGCAAACCAGCATGTGATCATTCTTCCTTGTTAAAGCCCTTGCCCATCTTATCCCCCAGTGGTCAGAGAACTGTAGAGAGGTGGAGATATGAACACTTAGTGACCACTAAGTGCTGAGTGCTGAAGGCTGGCCATGGACAGCATCCTTTAGGGCCACTGCTAAGGAAATGGGATGCAAGGAGATGAAAGAGTAAGTCAAGCCAAGGACCTTGAGAAAACATGGGATATGAATGCTAAGTCTGGAGGGGCCAGAGGAAATCATTCAGAAAAGCCTAGTCACATTGAAGGGCATGCAAGTATGCATCTAAGTCATGGCTTCAATCATGTGCTCGCTTGTGAGGACAGTGTGGGCATAAGTTTGGGTGACTCTAAAAGCTGCCAGAAATCTCCTGGCTGTCTAAATGCCCCTGCTAATATTTCCAGAAGTGTTTAGTTCTAGAATGAGGCAGCCTGCATTATAAATACAATAGGCATCTAGAAGTAAAGGCCCTTAACCTTTACTGTACACAGAGGGTGCCAGAGGTTAGACATCATTTACCCAGGAATGTAGAAGGCAAATAGCCATACCAAATGTGAGACCACTTTTTATTTTTCTAGTCTCACTGAGTAAGTCTCTTGAGATTCTGTTGGTGTTAATATCTATGGCCCTATTGTAAGGGCAGGTGACTGGGAACATTCTAAGTTATTTGAGTTAGTAAATAATGCCAATGCATCTTCAACACACCAGATTTCTGTCTCAGGCTGCCTGTACACATGTGGAAAATAAAAAAATTTTTAAACATTTAAATATTGACTTCAGAAAGGTACCTAGAAGAGAATAGAACATAGATTATAGGCTTATTCCCACAGATGTTCTTTCTGTGGTCCAGTGTATTGTATTAGATATTTAAGAAGGAAGACTACTATAGAAAATAGAGACATACCCTTACATGACAATTAAGCTATAAAGAGTAAGGAAATGGAAGCCCAGAGACATACCTAACACCATAGAGTTAGATAATATCAGAGTAAAAATTAAAGTTTAGTTCCACTGATGTACACATAGAGACTTACTGGAAGGCAATCAGGTATAATAGACATGAAGCTTTGTTATCAGTTAGTGGAACCCTATCTTGGTTCCACTTTTTCCAACTCTAGGACTTCAACTAAGGTCCTTTATAATGAGTATTTTAATATCTATTTCATAACATGGTTATCAATAAAAAATGAGATTATATTGATAATTTACCAAGTATCTTGTGTAGGATTGAGTAGCTTCTTTCCCTAAAAAAAAAGTGACTGAGACAGTTCCCATCTATTGATTGTTAGGATTGATTCAAATTATGCAGATCTCCTCCATCCATGGCCCATACACAGGAGAATATACAATAGAATTCTCAAACACTTTTGATATAAGAATTACCTGATCAAGAGAATGAGAATACAAGTCACAAATTGGGAGAACTTTTTGCAAAAGACACATCTGATAAAGGAATAATTCAAAATATATAATGAACCTTAAAACTTAACAATAATAAAACAACCTAATTTAAAAACCGTCCAAAGATGGCAAACCGTCCAAACACATACAGATGGCAAATAAGTGCATGAAAAGATGTTTCACATCATGTCATCAAAAAAAGAGAAAATTAAAACAACAATGAGATGCCACTACACACCTACTAGAATGACCAAGGTCTGAAACAATGACAACACCAAATGCTGATGAAGATTCGGACCAATGAGAACACTCAGTAATTGCCAGCAGAAATGCAAAATGGCACGGACACTTTGGAAGTCAGTTTGGTGGTTGCTAACTAAATATACTCTACCATACTCACATTCCTTGGCATTTATTCAAAGGAGTTGAAACTTATGTCTACACAAAAACCTGTACATAAATGTTTATAGCAGTTGTATTTATGATTGCCAAAACCTGGATTTTGTAAGATATCCTTCAATTGGTGAATAAATAAATAAATTGTGGTTCATCCAGACAATGGAATTTTAGTCAGTGTTAAAAGAAATGTGCTTTCAAGCTATGAAAAGACAGAAGAATCTTAAGTGCATATTATTAAGTAAAAGAAATCAATCTAAAAAGGCCACATATTGTATGATTTCAACTATATGGCATTCTGGAAAAGACAAAACTATGGAGACAGTAAAAGAGCAGTGATTGCCAGGGGTTGTGGGGAGGGAGAGATGAATAGTGAAGCACAGAGGATTTTTAGGGCAGTGAAAATACTCTGGGTGATACCATAATGATGAATACATGTCATTATATATTCATCTACACCCATAGAATGTACAATACCAAGAGTGAACCATAATGTAAATTATGGACTTTGGGTGATTATGATGTGTTGATGTAGCTTCAACAATTGTAACAAATGTACCTCTCTTGGGGGGAATGTTTATAATGAGGGAGGCTATGCATGGTAGGGAGCCAAAGTTATATGAGAAATCTCTGTACCTTCATCTCAATTTTGCTGTAAACCTAAAACTGCTCTAAGAAAATGAAGTCTTAATGAAAAAATTAAACCCACATGAAGCATTCATCAGATTCATAGGATTGGAGTGAAGCTCAGGAATCTGTATTTTAATATGCATTCCTTTCTCACTTTCACTCTCACCCTCTCACTCCTAGACTCAAATGCAACTAGACTACAAGCCACACTTAGAGAAACTTTAAGAGAAATCATTTTGATGCACTTTAAGTTAAAAATAAAGAAAATGCAAACTAAAAAGGTAAGAGTTCCTCACCCCAAAAGACACAAATTCAGTAAGGTGGGTTTCACTTCTGTATTTTAATAAGTTCACTGGTGATTCTGATACTTAACTAGATTTGGGAACCACTGCTTTTCCTATGCTGCAGGACTATGGTCCCACCCACTCTGATTTCAATGGCTAATTTACACATCAAATCTTTCAAATCCATTCTGCATTGGACTTACTGTCCTGCAAAAGTGTAAGGGTTTTGCTATCATTCCAATCAGAGATTTTCATGCATAAGGTATGGCTTGCTCACAAGTGTCCATAATGACTGTTTCCACAGCCAGTGGGATTTGAGGCTGGTCTTCATTTTTGTTTGTTTTTAAATAAACATGCATAGGTGACAGCAAAATTCTTAAATTCAAATACATTAATTTCCTTATAGAGAAAGGTGAAAAGAAAGAGGCACAGTGGGGCTCACAGATTACAACTTGGTTTTAGAGATAATAAGAAATAGTGGAATGGACAATCCTATATAATAAAAACCTAATATGCAAATCGACCAAAAGTAGAAAGATGTGCACTGACCACCAGGGGGCAGACACTCAACACAGGAGCTGCCCCCCGTGGTCAGTGCACTCCCACAGGGAGAGTGCTACTCAGCCAGAAGCCAGCCTCACAGCTGGCAAGTGCGGGAGCCACTCCTGCTTCCAAGACAGTGCTAAGGACCCCTCAGGGGACATTCCCTGAGGGGTCCCAGACTGCAAGAGGGCACAGGCCAGGCTGAGGTGCCCCCCCCCCTCAAGTGCACAAATGTCACGCACCAGGCCTCTAGTCTTTAAATAAGAATAATGGCTATCTTGTCCATTTCATTCTCAGACCATTAAATGTAGCTCACCTTTCCAGATACTAAAATGAAGTAGATTCATGAAGGCCAACAAAGAATTCAATGTCTGTTCCATGTAAATGTTTGTGATAACCCTTCACATATTCACAACCTGCTGGTCTTCTTTGCTCTCTACAGTTTTTCCAGTCTTGAAATCATATTCTAGTTTCCAAGTACACATAGAGTTCTTTCACTTATTACACCCAAACTTCCTGCTCAAATTTAACTTACATATGATAAAGTACAAGATTTTCAGCTTTGAGTGAGAAAATTCTTCCTGCAGCACCAAGCCTACCACTCAGGTCAGCTCTATTCCTTCAGGCTAAGAGAGGTATTTAAACTTAATGGCATTCCAATAAAATGCATAGACCACAAAAGCTTCTGCTGAGCAGATAAACAGCAGTGTACTCTAGAAACATGCTGAAACTCATCAGTACTGCACACATTCTGGATCAGACCCCTAATTCCCATTGTTGAAAACAAACAAATGCATCTTTCTACATTTGGATATTAAATTGTTCAGAAACTTTCATTTTTGTATTGAACAAGAATCCCAAAATATTGATTTCAGCTCTGCTTTTAAGGAATGCCTGGAGAAATAGGAGGAAAAATCAATTTGCTAAAGATCACCAAACCTGTGAAATTTCTGTCTCTGTAACACACTCCTGCTCTATCTGTTGGGTTCTCCATTGAAGAAAGATGACCATTTCCAAGGACAGTTTGATTTTATTTATTCATAGTATGTGTTTCATGGTTTTCTATTAATATTTACTAACCTTCACTGATCTCCATTTACAAGAAGCTATATTGCCAAAGGGTTCTATCATTAGAAAGTCATTTGCATGGCTTATGCTTTTTTATTAGGTTATTTTTAGAAATTCTTAAAAGAAATCATTGTAATTATTTATAAATGCTCATCAGTTGCTGGGAGCCGGTCCATCCTTGCTGTTTAGGGGGACCTGGCATATGTGGCATAGTGTTCTTGATATGTTTGCTCACCTTCTTGGCACTGTGTTTTGACCAAGGTCACCTCTCCGAGAGGGGTTGTTTCCCCAGGTAGGGATTTTCCCCTGAAGTTAGGGAGGGAATAAAACCTCTTAA